CTTTTCCTACTGGCTGCATTCACTGAAGAAACTTTGAAAAGGCTTGTCTGGGATGATGCTTATATGCAGCCGTACAGTCTTTAATGGTGTGATCCTAGGCTGTGATGTGAAAGAGTGGCATTGACACTGTATGTACACAAAATAGCTTGGTCCAACTGTTCTAAAAAAGATTTTTGGTTTGCCTTCAAACTGCATGCTTTTAAAATGTTTAAATCATGAATAAAGCAATCAAATTTCCTAGCTTTATTTAGATTGCTATTTTATATTTCCTGTCTCGTGCATTTTTAAACTGTAAATAAACATTTGATTTCAGTTAACTGCTGGTTTTGACTTTGCAACAATACAGTACCTTTTAATCATATTTTGCTTTGCAGAATTCCCTTTTTAATTAGAAGAACAGTCTGCTGCTATGGTATTGCAGTGGGAAGTGATAAAGAATGGAATTTCGCATGGGAGATGTATAACCATACCAACTCCACAAAGGAAGATAAAGACATCCTGCTCTCTGCCATGAGCTGTGCCAAAGAGTCATGGTTACTTTACAGGTGACCTTGATCAAAGTATATCTTTGTGTATATGGAAGTAAATCATAAGAACACAAATACTGTACTGTGCAAACCTGATGAAGGTTTGCCTGCCCCGGAAGCACGTGTCTTATAGACCCTGGGAAAATCTTATGAGTTTTCTTAAAGTATGATAAACAGGGCAAACACAAATGATCCTTCTGCTGGTATAACATCCCAGATGCTGGTAATCACTGAGAAAAGGATTCCCGAGCTTGGTAACTAGTGTGTCATGTGTAACACTGGGCCTGTCTTCTGTCAATGTATCTAGTGACCTTTTTGAACTGAAATTATACCTTCAGGCTTTATAGCAGACTATGACAACACATCCCATAATATAACTGCATGTTGTCTGAAAACATGCTTCCTTTTGGTTTGTTTTAAACCTATTTTGTGTTGGTTTTTTACTTGGAACCCATTGGCTGCCCTTACTCTTTGCACCATAAGAAACAGTAATTATCATAATTTGCTTTGACATTTTTCCCTGCCATTTATGATTTTGTATAATTTTCCCATACTCCTTCTCCCCTGCTTGTTTTGTTTCCAAACTAAAGTGTCATAGTCTATTTAGCCTCTGTGTGGAAGCCAAATCACCCAGGTTTAGGGCAGAAATGTGAATAGACTTACTAGCAAGCTCTTCACCATTTGAAGTGCAGACTGATGCTGAAAAGTAATTTTGTTAAATTTCCAGCTTCATAGAATCATAGAATATCCTGAGTTGGAAGGCATCCACAAAGATTGTTGAGTCTAACTCCATGTGGGGCAACCTAAAAGTAAAGCCATATATCTAAGAGTGTTGTCCAAATGCTTCCTGGACACATTTTGGAATACTGTATTTATTATCTTTCACTGGCATCCATATAAAATCTTTTCACTTTATGAGTAAAAATATATTGAAGCTGAAGTCTGCAATCTGTCATGTCCACATTACCTAAAGGATTCATCGAAGGACAGAAATTTGCCAGCGATGGCCTAAAGAATGATCATTCAAGAACTGGCATAAACTAAATGGGTCTAAATCTCTTAAAGCAGCAGAGATATTTCTCCTGCCAGCCACCTGCTCTTGTGATGGCAGTCATTTGAGAAGACAGAACAAACATGCCTGAGGAGAAGGCAAGATGGGTTGTGAAGAGATGTCCAATCAGCTATGCTGATTTTCCACCTAACCTATGGTCTTTTATTGACTTTGTCATTGGCACAGGCTAGCACTGGTCCCTGACAAGCTCAGGGAGTTGTGATGACCTCCTTCCTCCCTGTGCCTTAGTAGTTGATAAGCCAATCTATTTTTCTAAATGCCACCCTGAAAGTCTTTTGGGGTGAGTAACATTAAGCTGGGCTTTTCCTGGCTCTCAGTGTATTTTGTCCGTTCTGTTAAGCATGGTGGTGGCTTGCAGATGGGAGAAACCCAGCTCATCTGCTCTAGCCATAAAGCAGCTGTCTGCAGGACCCTATGAGAAGATAACTCTTTAACAGTGCTCCTTGAAAGTAGGAGCATTGAGGTAACAAAGAGAATAGTTATTTACTTTTTCAAGATATTCAGGCACTGGTAACTAGTGTGTCATGTGTAACACTGGGCCTGTCTTCTGTCAATGTATCTAGTGACCTTTTTGAACTGAAATTATACCTTCAGGCTTTATAGCAGACTATGACAACACATCCCATAATATAACTGCATGTTGTCTGAAAACATGCTTCCTTTTGGTTTGTTTTAAACCTATTTTGTGTTGGTTTTTTACTTGGAACCCATTGGCTGCCCTTACTCTTTGCACCATAAGAAACAGTAATTATCATAATTTGCTTTGACATTTTTCCCTGCCATTTATGATTTTGTATAATTTTCCCATACTCCTTCTCCCCTGCTTGTTTTGTTTCCAAACTAAAGTGTCATAGTCTATTTAGCCTCTGTGTGGAAGCCAAATCACCCAGGTTAAGGGCAGAAATGAAAATAGACTTACTAGCAAGCTCTTCACCATTTGAAGTGCAGACTGATGCTGAAAAGTAATTTTGTTAAATTTCCAGCTTCATAGAATCATAGAATATCCTGAGTTGGAAGGCATCCACAAAGATTGTTGAGTCTAACTCCATGTGGGGCAACCTAAAAGTAAAGCCATATATCTAAGAGTGTTGTCCAAATGCTTCCTGGACACATTTTGGAATACTGTATTTATTATCTTTCACTGGCATCCATATAAAATCTTTTCACTTTATGAGTAAAAATATATTGAAGCTGAAGTCTGCAATCTGTCATGTCCACATTACCTAAAGGATTCATCGAAGGACAGAAATTTGCCAGCGATGGCCTAAAGAATGATCATTCAAGAACTGGCATAAACTAAATGGGTCTAAATCTCTTAAAGCAGCAGAGATATTTCTCCTGCCAGCCACCTGCTCTTGTGATGGCAGTCATTTGAGAAGACAGAACAAACATGCCTGAGGAGAAGGCAAGATGGGTTGTGAAGAGATGTCCAATCAGCTATGCTGATTTTCCACCTAACCTATGGTCTTTTATTGACTTTGTCATTGGCACAGGCTAGCACTGGTCCCTGACAAGCTCAGGGAGTTGTGATGACCTCCTTCCTCCCTGTGCCTTAGTAGTTGATAAGCCAATCTATTTTTCTAAATGCCACCCTGAAAGTCTTTTGGGGTGAGTAACATTAAGCTGGGCTTTTCCTGGCTCTCAGTGTATTTTGTCCGTTCTGTTAAGCATGGTGGTGGCTTGCAGATGGGAGAAACCCAGCTCATCTGTTTTAGCCATAAAGCAGCTGTCTGCAGGACCCTATGAGAAGATAACTCTTTAACAGTGCTCCTTGAAAGTAGGAGCATTGAGGTAACAAAGAGAATAGTTATTTACTTTTTCAAGATATTCAGGCACTCGCTGCCACTGACATCACTGGCACGTAGTTCCTTAAATACTTCTGAATTCATGCCTTAGCCCGAATGAATCCATCCAAGACCCCTTGTTATTGGGTCTTGTTATAGGGGACCCTGTAAACGGGTTGCATTTGCATAACAGAGTGTCTCGCCGCTGGCTCACTCTAGGCTCCATCTGTGTCACAGCAAAGTGAGTCTCCAGAAACCGAGAAGCAGTTTGCCCTTCCACAGGGCTGTCTGGTAGGAGTGGTTGTCTTTCTGTAACACAGGTAAGAAAAGCACATATATCCACTTGATGTGCTACACCCTCATTTTACTGAGAAGGGGAAAGTCAGTGTGCAAGAATGGGATTTCACCAACATATGGACAAAACCCAAGCTGAATACACAGCTCAGAGTGACACCAACTTTTGTATAACCTTCCACATTGTGGTATTTGTTGAGACAGGAATTTTCCTGAACTGGATGACATTTCCAGATCATCACTGTTAAACAGCAAGTGATAGGTACAATTATTACCTTCTTTTCCAACAGATACTTGCAATATGGACTCAGTGATACATTATTTTCTTCCAATTGTACTTCAATCATCATCTTATATGTCGTGACTAAGGATATTGGGCACCGTATAGCCTGGGAATTTGTTACGGAAAATTGGCCACTTTTGAGTGCAAGGTATGGTAAGCAACCAGCTTTGGGTTCCCTTTATTTCTCTTTGGCTCTTTGGCTTCTTTCTCCATCTTTATGTTTGAGCTGTAAAATCCAGGTGCAGGTTTTCCTTCCAGAGATGGCTTTTTTGTAATGATTGATGCAATTCCTTAACTATGCAGAGCAGGGTTTTCAGAGGATTCAACTCGGATCAGGGCTTAATATCAAAGAAGACCTCATGTCAGACACAGAACACTTTAAAAACTAATCTGCTCATGACTGTTTCGATGCTTTTAAGTGTTAAAGTTCCTGGAAAATATGACTCTAGAAATGGGTTTATTCACTAGCATTTCACAAGCGTGAGTGTAAAATGCTGGAATAAGAGTGTGACCTCTTTTCCAAAGAGAGTATGGAGAGATGGGGCATTGGAGCACACAGGTTTACAAGTGCTGCAAGGACCAACTACAGTATTATTCCCTGACTTAAGTCCTAACCCATCTCTAGCCTACCTGCACTGATGCAGGTAAACTGCAGGTGAGCTTGGGCTACCTGTCTTAAGCAAAGCAAGTATTTTGATGACTGTTCAAAGAATTCCGCTCTCCTTGGCAATGGTGAAAAGCAGCAGGGCTGTGACAGAGTACATTCCTGCACCATTAGTGGCAGCATAACCAAGACCAGCCATCTGGGAGCGTTCCGATGTGTATCTGTATTGCTAATGCTAGAAAAGGCAAGTTGTGGCAGGTTTGTGTCACACGAACTTGTTCCCTTACAGAGCTTTTCTGTGTTCCATACTGATGCAAAATTTGGTGGGAAACTGACCCATGATTTTCAAACTAAAAGAATAGTGTGGGTGTTAATTTATATGCCATCCTCAAGATACCAACAGAAACACCAAGTCGTTAGAATCATTATTAATTAGCCTTTCTAGCTCAGTTTGGCTGTATAGGCTCACAAAGATTATCTATTTTAAGCAAAGAATTCATGTTACCAAAGTAGAAATACCAGATCTTACTGGGAAATGAAAATGAATGGTAATAGTGTGCTTCATTCTGCTCAAATGTCTACATTGAATGTTAATGATATTTCTTTAAAAGGGGAAAAAGAGTGCACAATTGCAAACTTCAGCTTAGTTGCTATTTCCAACATGGTAAATAATAACTAAATAGTGAGAGTATTTTCAAATGAGATAAAATTTAGTATATTTGCTAACATGCTGTTTGAAGGACCTTTCTCTCAATTTTACAGATATGGGAAGGAATTATTACATGATGTATTAAAACTCATGGGAAGATTCGTCAATACAGATGTACAGATCCAAGAGGTAAATCAGAGAAGCAGTTAGTTTTAACTTTATTGCCAGTTTTTAAATACAGGTTTTAAAATCTCTTTGTTTTTTAAAGAAACCATAGAATGTATTGTATAATGTTGCTATGTTGAGACATCGAGAAAAATAATACTTCCTCATCTGTGAAATAAACACGTGAACATGCACCCATAGCTCTGCGGTCCATGTGTGCAGTTGGTTTTTAAGCATGGCATGAAAGTGAGCTTTTGTGCAGGGGTCGATGTTGTCCTGCTCTCTGTGGTTGCAGCGTAAGAGGTTGCCTGCCCGTGTGCCGAACAGGTGGCCTGCACGTGTGATACAGTTCTTTCCTTTTGATTGTGTGGCAGCCCAGATGAGCCCACGAACAATGCTTTCTAATTGGGCTGCTGTACATCTGGAAAAAGGGAATGGGTTTTGGGAAACCTGCTGAAGGGTGGAAATCCATGGGAGGTGGCTGTAGAGTGTCTTAATTTATTCCCCACAATAATCCACGTTAGTCCCTGGGACAAATTAATAACCATCACTGCTTGTTTCATTCTCTTTTCTTGTTCTTTCATCTCCACTCCAGGTCTCCCTAGATTCTTTCCCAAAATATTATTTTCTTTTCTCAACAGCTCAGCTTTTGTGCTGTCTGCATGCGATCCACAACTCTGCCAGCCCTGCACTGCTAGTATCTGTCATTACAGGAAAAATTTTGCATCCCTTTTTTGCTGTTCATTGATGCATGCATACAGCAAGGAAGAGAGAAGGGATGCTTAATGAGGAGAGCAATTCAGAGAGCTCCTAAAATCAAAGAAATCTCTCTTGAACATTCATGAACGATAAGTTTTTCATCGTTTGTTCTTTAGGGACAAGTTAACTCCTTGGGTTGGCAAAAGCAATAGCCCAGTGCCAGCCTTTAAATTAACCTCCAGGTTTGGAACTGAGTCCCAATAAATGAGACAGCCCCAAAGCTGTCTCATTTTCCTCTTTAAAATCTGTCTGTAGATATCACCTTTGCCATGATGTCTACAAGAAAGGTACCAAAAGCTGGGCTGCTGGCATGTTAGGTTGCTGGTTGTCATGCTGACATCTATGTCATTTCTCTTCTTGTTCATTTCCCACTCCCCCCATATATTTCTTTGCTATTCTTCAGTCCTCTCTTGTCTTCTGCTCATTAGACTGATAGGAAAGACTTCTTGTTCTGTGATTGTAGAACAGGCAGCAGAAGAGGATTCTGCTACCCAACTAATCCTAGACACTGTGTGGTACCACCAGTACTAGTGAAGTTGGCTGCATTTAAAAGGATTTTCAGAGGGATGGCAAAAGGGCACATTCCTGATGTGCAAGAAGCTTTCCCACATTAGCGTTAATCAGTAAGCTTGCCCCATCCCCTCCTTAGTCCCTGCCATCTCCCCCTTTTCTATGCACTTCTGTCTAAAGCATCTGTCAGGTATACAGTGGCTTGCTGCAAGTGAAGTTATGTGAACTAAGTTAATGTGTTTATTTCTTCAGTTGCAGGTTTTTTATAATACTACAGTGGAAGAGAAAGAGAGAGTGGCTACTACTCTACTGCTGGAGTATACAAAATTTGAAAATATGGAAAGGAGAGAACTGCTAACCAAAGTTGCCAACTGGTTACAGAAAAATGTAGATGATTGACTTGGAAAACAATTTACAGTATATTTTAAGAGTGTGATTCACTAGCATTTTGGTATTCATTTTAAGATGTAATTAAAGAAAAAGCACATTTTTGTGAGTCCTGTGGTTGTCTTCCTGACTGGAAAGTCAGGCTAAAATAATTCACAAAGAAAAGAAAGATTCAGCAAGAGAAATAAGAGATATAATTTCATATTAGATCTAAATTAATTTCCTACAGGATGAGTTGTTAGTAAGGATGTGTTGCTAATAATAATAATCTAACATATAGATACAGTCGTAAATCCTTTGTTTTTTTCTGAATATCAGAATGAAAGGTGTGGTACAAGTTTGTGGCAAAAACATGTGAGGAAGCTGGAAAAGTTTTATATTCTGTTTCGCTTATGATTTGTACTGTGACCTTGGGCACTTCTCTTTATCTGTCTCTCTCCACTTCTATGTTTGCAAATTGCAAAGAGGATAATAATTTAGAACAGTGGCGTGAAACATAAACTTGAGAATGGCTTCAGAGCTGTAGGGAGGAAAGGACTAAAGAAACCTCAAATTTTAATTGTAATAAAAGAATGCCTTGTCATTCAAACTTTATTTTTCCTTAGCAGATCTATACTTAATGTGTCTAGATGTACATTTGTCTTTGGTTAGGAATGTGCTTTTGAAGACACCCTCCCAGTTGTCTCTGTTTAGTATGCTTCAACCCCCCGGACACTCTCGGAGTGTGTGAACTGGATTCTTTTTGGATGAAATTTATCTGGCAGATGATGAGCTCCTGGTGTGCAACTGGTAGACACCACTATCTGATGGTCATTTTGTCCATGGCACTAGAGTGCAACTAGCTTAGCTGCTCGCTGATGTAGACATAGGGTTAATCATCTTGCTTATGCAGCATTTTGGAGGTGACTGACAGAATTCAGACCATTAGTATTAGCAAACCATATTAGCTTGTGTCTGAAGAAGTATGGGATCCTCAGTCCATGCAATTTATTTATTTGTGGGGTAACAGTGTTATGACAAAATGACTGTACCGGTGCTCAGGTTAACATAGAAAACAATGTTATGTGGGAATGCAGGAAATCCAAGAAGTTCGAGTACTGCACTATGAGGAGACAAGTAATAACATCCAGACTTGTTAATGCAAATAATTTTTCACTGGCACCCTCTAAATACAGTTAAGGAAGACATTGCCATGTTGGCTTCAATGAATCTCCTCTGCTCCCCATGGCTGCAAAGAAAAATAATAACTATTTTGAGACTATCTGAGGATCCCTTTAGTGTATGGGAATTACCAACTGGTGCAGCCAAGTTAGTGCTGGAATCGTTTGACCTCTTTAGCGTTTGATCCAGTTAAGGGTAGTGCCAAAGAAAATTGTGTGCAATCTTGAGAGTCTTCATCAAGCTGATTCAGAAAGCAGAGGAAGTCATCGAGGCTATGATGAGTTAGAGGGGCTTTGTTTCAGCTGACCCCCAGTAGTTAATCACTGGCTCTGCATGCCTCATCAGATGGGCTAAGCAAAGCTCAAGAAAGTCATTGTTGCAGGATTTATGGACTAAACTTCCCATGATAACATTTTACCCCTAAGCCCAGTACGTCCAAATCATTTCCTTCCAACCATGAGTAACCACTCCTCCTTTCTAACCACTCTTCCTTATTATTCTTTTTTCTTCTTTCCACTGAACAAAAATCTTAATTAGAAATGCTAATATGCAAACAATTACTAAAACAATTTGAAATAAGAAGTTGTTTTCAAATAATGGCTCCTGACTAATGTGTGCCTCTTGGCTGACATTCTGTATTGCAGACTAGCAGCACAGTTTTCATGGCAGAGGCAAATGGTGAAGGTGATTGCTAGGCAAGCTGCCTGAGTAGGAGCAGATCTGAACTGCTCTTGCTTCCAGCGTCCACACATTTGCATGTGGTGGCATGTAACATCAACAGCTGTACAATGGCAGTTCTTGCTGCTGTTGAGTACAAGTTGAGCACAGAGGTTTGGAAAGTGGCAAATGGGAGATGCAACAAGGGAAGGCAAGGTGCATGGGAGGAATCCAGGGCAAGCTGGGAAAGCTGCTTTATTGCCTTATTGCTTTATTTACATTTACATGTAATTGTGAAGATGTGTGTGTGCGGGGAGCAATTTCCAGTGGGAGGAGGTGTCATTGATAGACAGGATGTATTTAGTAGGACCTAAGGGGAAAAAAAAAAAAAAAGTAGATATGATGCGAAAGACCAGCTTTTTGCCTTAAGTCCTGCTCTCTGCCCTGAGAGTGTGGAAGTCAAAAAGTTACATTTGTTCTGCCTTTACAGCATGCATCTGTGACAGGGCAGGAAACTTGGGAGCTGGCAAAGATGGGGAAGAAATTGTGCAGTGGAAGGACTGAGGGAGAATTAGGACCTGCCAGAATAGTTGGGAAGGGAGGATGAAAAGAGGTGAGAGGACCAGGGGCCCAAAGAGGAGACAGGATGAGAAAGCAAGTGAGGGAAGCTGCAGGAGCAAGGGAAGATGCAAGGGGAATCAGGAGAGTGGGCTAAAGAGGGAGAAGTTCAGACTCCTCTTGAATTCATTGCTTGCCCTGCAAAGAACATTGACCTGAGGTATTTTGAAGGATTATGTTGCATTCTTTTGGATCCTTTGTTGTTCATCTAGAACAGGACCAATATCCCCTCAGGTGTGTCCCTGCCCCAGCGCTGGTCATCTGCAATTCCTCACCAGTGTCCCTGCCCTGGCATAAGCTGCCCACTGGCCACAGTCGCTTTGGAGGCGTCCTTCCTCTGGCATCAAGCACCTTCTCCCAAGTGTGCATCTCCAACTGTGTCCCCAACATCTTCCATGTGTCTCTTCCAGTTTGTTTGTTTTGTTTTCTCCTGCCCCCATATTGCTCTTTCTTAAATACGTTTGAGCAGTGGTGCCATGTGTTCCCCTGACTGGCTGCAATTTTGGTGTGTGATGGACTGCTTTTGTTCATTTCTGAGCTGGCTGGATGAAACTGTCAGAGCACAGGGCAGTTCCTGGCCCACCAGCAGCCCCCACTGCCTAAACCTTGACAGTGCTGATGAATACAGTCCTATAGTCTCCATTGCAGCCGTTATCACCAGCTGCCCCACAGCACACAGCTTCCAGCTTTCCTCCAAACGCCAGGGCTGGCACTAAGAAATCCTGTGTCACCACTTGTCCTCCTGTGGCCATGTGCTCTCCCTGCCAGTTTCTCATGACTGCAAGCCAAGCTGTTCCCAGTAGGAAGAAAGACTTCAGAGCTGTTTAAGTCAAGGTCCAAGAGCACCAGCCAACTGCTCCTCTGCACCTCCCAGCCAAGCTTCCCTGCCACCCCACTCTGCCTGCACCCCCTTTCTTCCCTGGCACCTCAAGGAGCCTCCCAGGCAGGTGAGGAGAAAGCAGCTCATTGTGGGACCTGAGTGGTCAAGGTGCGAGCCCCATGCCACCTAGCTGCATCGATGGCACACACGGATGAGGCAGGTGGAGCAGCCTGCTCCTGTCAGCATTGTTGGAAGTCCCAGAAGGGTAGGTATGTGGTAGGGAAAAGGGGACAGGGGCCAAAGTGACATAAATGAACAGTGATGTGGCCTTGCCACATTCCTGTTGTGCGATGCTTCACAGAGCACAAAAAGAGCTGTCATCTCTGCCTCCCCTGGCCCAGAGGGGCAGGGCCTCCTCCAGAACTGGGTCTGAGGGATGGACCCGACTCCTTGACCAAACTAGTGGCAGTGTGGTTCAGGCTCCAAAGGCAGTAAAGGCTGAGGCTGTAACCAGGCCAAGAACTTCTCTAGTTCCAATCTGTTCTCTGAAAGCCCATGTAGGAACACGGTGACATGGTGAGCATTGATGCATGTGAGCCTGGAAACTGGAACACTGACCATGTGATTAACACAAGAACAGCAGGTGGTTCTTCCAAGACTCATTTGTCAAGAAACAAAGGAAGTTGTGGGTACAAGGAGTCTCATGCTTACCTTTTCCATTGCATGTAATTTGACTGTGAGCCAACCACTTTATTCCATAAATATGACAGCCTAAGTGAGCCTTCTTTGAGCTCTCTCTGCTAAGCAGCGGGCTGCATGGCGGTGATCTCCCCTTCAGCTGGGACGCCTCCCAGGGTTACCTCTCGAGGCTGAGGGACCCCTTACCAACTGCAGATCTTTGGTAAGTGACCGATATCGTGCATAACCTTGTATTATAGTGCACTAAGATTTTGCATTGGTAACTTTGAATCATTATTATAGCCTCTGTGCAGTAAGAGAGTGAACCTTGTCATCTGTTAAGTCTCACTTTTACAACATCTTACTTCAATAGAACCACTGTTGCTGCTACCTTTGGTGGTGGTTCTTTAAGTGGTCAAAATCTCCCCTGTGACAGAGGGACAGTGGGTTCTGGTCTTTTGGGGGCCATTGTCTGTCATTCTTTGTGGTGGGATGTTCTCTGAGACAAGGACCTGAGCGGGGATGGTGGGGTGACCTTGGCCAGCTGCAGGATGCCCATCCTGATGCCCTCCCACTCCTCAACAGGACGCAGGGAGAAATCGAGGTGAAAAAGCTTCTGGGTTGAGATAAAGGCAGGGAGATCACTTACCAGTTACCATCATGGGCAAAATAGACTTGACTTGGGGAAATTAATTTGATTTACTGCTAATTAAAACAGACTTGGATAGTGAGAAACAAAACAAAACATTAAAACACCGTCTTCCCCCCACCTTCCCTCTTTCTGAGGCTGATCTTCACTCCCAACTCTTCTACCTCCTCCCCTGGAGCAGCCCAGCGGGAAGGAGGAATGGGGGTTGAGGTCAGTCCATAACCGCTCCTCCCCGCCGCTCCTTCCTCCTCAGGCTGCTCCCCTGCCCCAGCGTGGGCTCCCTCCCACAGGCCGCCGTTCCGCCCGGGGACACCCCCCTGCTCCACCGCGGTC